CTGTGTATGGTGGCTGCTCATCTCACGGCACATACTCCCATTCACCTTGCCGTCTCAGTTTCTTCAGTAGACCTTCTTTCCAGACCTTGTCAAAGGCTTTCTTCAGATCTATCCATGCCGTTAGCACCAGCTTCTTTCCTGGAAGGCATCCTCAATTTCTTGTGAAAGGTAAGTTGTCTGGTCTTCTGTGGAGTAGCACTGTCTAAATCCTGCCTGCTGCGGCATGAAAATGTTTTCACTTTCCAAGTACCATTGGAGTCTAAGGTTGACAATACAATCCATTGTTTTACAGAGGCAGCTGGTAAGACTGATCGGTCTATAGCTGGAGGATCAGAACTGTCCTTTCCTGGTTTAAGCAGAGATATTGTAATTGCTTCTCTCCAAATCTGAGGAACTTTGCCACTGGTCCAACAATGATTAAAGATCTGTAGCAGCTTTATTTTGGCAGTTGTTCCAAGGTTCTTGATCATTTCGTTGGTGATTCCATCAATTTCAGGTGATTTTCCCATTCTCAGCTTAGAAATTGCTAGCTCTAACTCGCTAGATGTAAATGCTGCCACCAGTGCCTCAGGTATTATATCATTTTGTCTTGTAGGCTGTTTGTTCTCTTGAACCTCTCGCTGTTTCTCTGGGCTGACGTTAATGTTGCTGTCTTCTGCAAAGGAATCTGCAAAGTGGTCAGCTGCCTGTTTTCTTGTTAGGATGGCTCCCTCTTTGCATAGTGCAATATTACCATTTCTTCCTGGTTGGCTTATTAACGAGGATGAACTTATTCTCATCCTGCCAGTCCTCTAGTTTCTCTCCTCTCTGATCCATGTGATCGTAGCCCCAATGACTCCATCATTAATTTGCTTAATTAACCTCCACAACTTCCTTGTGTCTCTTTCAAAGTTTAGATACTTTGTCTTTTCCTGCCAGCTTGTCCGTATAGCCTGCAGTTTGGCTCTTTGAAATTTGGCCTTTGAATTTTGGTAGTTGTTGAACTGCTCTTGACAAGGTCTGGTCTCGGCTTGTTTTCTTTCTGTTTCCATATTGTTGTGCAGTTGCTCCAGATCGCAATTCCAGTACGGTTTATATTGTTTACGCTCACCTCTTGGAACTGCTTCTAGGGTTGCCTGCAGCATGTGTTTGCTCAACTCTTGGACTACTTTTTCACGTCGTTATTTGTGTTCAGATTTTCCAGCAGAACATTTGTGCAAAGCTGATCAACTTCCAGTCTGCCTTCTTAAAATTCCACCTTGGCTCTCTTACAGACTGGCTTTCTATAGTTAGAAAGACTGGTCGGTGGTCAATGCTTCCTAGTTGCTTCCCAACAGTTCTGGTAACATTCAGTCCCATGTCTGCTGAGTGAAAAGCTAGGTCTGGTGTCGAGGTGGTATGCCATGATCTTGAGTAGAAGGTTGGTGGGTCGGTTGGCTTATTAACGAGGATGAACTTATTCTCATCCTGCCAGTCCTCTAGTTTCTCTCCTCTCTGATCCATGTGATCGTAGCCCCAACTTTGGGGGTGGCTATTAAAATCCCCACAAATGATCATTCTTTAAATTTACTAGTACTGTATCCAGTGCCTGAGGGCGGTCGCTCGGACAGTAATAGTTGGTCAGATGTAAATCTGTATTTTCTAACTTGAGCTCAAGAGTTTGATACTCAGCACCTTCCATGTATGTTTCGATCTGGCCGGCAAGGATGTTATTTTTGACCAGGGTAAGAATTCCACCTTTTCTCCTGTCTTTGCAGTCAGATCGGAAACACTGGTAGCCTCTGATCTTGAAGGCCATATCTTGTTTGAGATACATCTCTTGTAGGCAGCATACATGTATATTCTCTTCGTTCAAGACGTTTTCTAATTCTAATTTCCTAGTATTCACTCCCTCTGTGTTCCAGTGCATTATTTTAAGACTAGCTGTATTTTCTGCTTTTCTGGTTCTACGGGGCATTAGGAGGAGGCTTTGGGTATTTGAAGCTGGGCTCTTTCTATTTGTCGTAGGCCGGTAAATTGAACCACGTGTACATGAGTGGGTCACACTGTGAAAATCATACTTATTTGCAGATATAGAAATATTCCCTGTTGCTTTTGTGCATGGCATCCTGATTGCTGTGGTGCGCCTCCTGGCTGGTTGCCTCCAACTTCAGCACCTTGTTTTGCTAGAGTAGACTAGGGTCTTACCCGTGCTGGACACCCATGTTTATAATGGGAGCGTGGCTCCTACGCGGTTACATCATCGATATTAGGACGCGGCCGCCGTCGTGGCTATTTTGTGGAATTTATTCCATTATAATACTTGGTATCCATGAACAAGAGAATATCCATCGTCAATGAATTAGTCATAATCGCACTCTGTTATCTAAACAAAAACACCGATTAAGTGAAAATTTTAAAAATAAAATTGTGTGTCGCCACAAACACGTCTTCACGCTGCCATTTCTAAACCGGAAGTCCGTGAAGAGTTCCAATACTAAAGGTGCCAGTAGCATTCTGATTAAACATCTCGTCTTTCCTCTGAGCCTCGGGCATCTTACAGAACTTCTCGTCACTCTCCCACTGCATCCATCTCACCAGACTGGTGATCCATCTGCTCCTCTTAACTGTACACGCTCTCCCACAAGGCACTAACCACGTCTGCCTTATCATGTAGCAGTATTCCACCAAGCTGTGCAGAGCCAGCAGTCTGTCTGCCTGTTATTTCCCAACACACCTGCGTAACCTTTGAAAAAATCCAGACAATACTCCTAACCCGTGTTCTCCACAGCGAGGCATGCCACTCTGCATGAAGCATGCCTGTCCTGATCTTCCTCAGCCTGCTTTCTGAGTCAGTTATAATCACAATGTGTATGTTTGTGTGTCACGTTCTCTAATCAGTGGAAAGCTGCAGTGACTGCCTCCACCTCCATTCTTAAGCTGGATGTTGTGATATCATATGCTAGGCTCTCCTGCACCAAACGTCAAACATTACTTTTTGCTAAGAAGCCCCAAGCACTTCTGAACTGTCTGTGTAAATGATCAAATCATCTGAGCGAGCATTATCTTGAATTAATTGCTGAATTACCACCTCAGTGGCACCTGCTGGCCAGTCTCTGCATTCCCTGCTCAGTGTGTTTATGACGTCTGACTGTTCAGGTTGCACTTTGACCCACTCCTTTCCTCGCCTAATGTTATCAAGGATGCAAACCTGTCTGATTGTGTCTTCTGCCTGAGGCAGTAGAGATAGCAGAGCCATTGGTTCTTTCCTAATAATTCACCACAGATGACGTCACGGGACAGTCCAATATTTTTTAAGATGGTAGGAGCGGGCTTTCCTCTGTCTGTATGTCTTCCAAGGCATTGCAAATAGTTTTGGTTCATTTCCTCTTCCGGAGACATCTCTCCAGTCACTTGTGTCTGCTTGCGTTTGCCTCTGATGTGATTTGTGTGTTCAGTCTTTATCACCATGACAAGAGCAGCGCTGCTTTCCTGCAACATCATGGCATTCTGCATAGCACCAGATGTTGTGACAATAAACGTACGATGGTGTTACCGCAACAATAGTCTGCTCTGCTGCTGCTGCCGCTACAGCAGATGCTGCAATCCAACCTCTCTTCAGATCAACTAACGTGTAAAATTGTTCTGATTGTCAAGTCATGCGTGAACCCAGCGGTACACATCAAGAATGATTGGCCCTGTTTAGGACCGCCCCCACAGTAACCAAGTGGCAATTTATTCTGCCCGATTGCACATAGAGTGTCACACAAACAAACTGCAAAACGGCATCCTCCTACCCAGCAAAAAAAAAGTGTTGTCAGCTGCCGGCGATATCAAGTGTTCTATATTCCACGATGTGAGTGCTTTTAATGACCCCAAAACATCTGCAACTGGCCCTAACCCCAACCCACCTACATTCTACAAAAGAGTGCAGCCTAGGTCCCACTGCATGCAGCCTAAGTCCTCCTCCCTACCAAAAAACACACCCCAAAAACTGCATCCTACCGATTGCACATACAGTCCACAACACATAGAAAAATCCACACACACAAAAACAGCGTAAGAAGCACACAAAACTGAAAACTGCACAGCACAAAACTGCACAGCAAATAAAATGCTAAACTACTACACTATACAACACCACCTAAAATATTACTGTAAAAAATTTTTGTATCTGTGGATTTCCTGTATTTGTGATGAAATATATTGGAAAGTACCGAGCCATTTGTTAATATACTTGTCCATATCCTTGCAGGGTATTGCATTTTTTTGTTTTCAAAGAATAAACAGTGGCAAAACTCTTTGTTCTAATGTGGATTAGGTTCGAAACTTTCAGGATTATACTAGGCAGGTCTAATCCTTGCCAATGGCTCTGATATAAAGGCTTTAAACATCACAAGATCAGTTTCCATCATAAATCTGACGCAGTCTTTTCATGCTACATAACTTTTTCTTGTTCTTTGCTGGAAATTGACTGACTATAAAAAAATTGGAAGAAGTAAACTTTAAGGGAATTTTTAGCATATGGAACATTTTATATTAGAAGATATATTTCATGAACAGCACAAGAAGGGACAGGGTTAAAAATACCAGTATCAGAGAAAAAGCTGAAATAGGACCATCTCTCTCTGAAATATATCAATATACAAAGAATAAAATGGTTCCGCCATATAATGACACTGCAGCCAGACCAAATTGCGTATAAGATTTTTTTTTTAACAGCAGAACAACTGGGAGGAAGGCAATGAGAAGACCAAGAAATAAGTGGATATTTGGTGTAGCTGAAATAAATTAAAAAGAAATGCAAAAACCAAGTTATTCAAGAAGCACGAGGAAAATGCAGAAAACCATAACACCTGGCTGCAACATATTGCCAGTGAGATGAGAAAAAAAGAAGAAGAAAATATCTCTTCACAGGTTGAATACTATTGTTCTTGCCGATGTAATAAAAAGGTTTCAATTGTCTGTTGTCCTTCATGATTTTATTTATGTACTATAAATAATAATATTAACTATCAGCCTTTGGGAAAATCTCTTTTCAGGACAATGTGCTATGAAACATTCATCAAAAATCCACAGAGTTTGGACATTCTATTAAAGGACATATTTCCTCGACTGAAGACTTTCATCTTCAAGACAGTGATGGGAAGAGTGATTAAGAAAGAGTTGTGGGGTCATGGCATTGGTCGACACACAGATGCTGAGATATGGGACATTGGGCGAAAGGACTTAACAGCTCTTTCACTGATTCTAGGTTTGTAATAAGCCTGATAAAATAAAACCAAGATATGTTTTATTTATAATTCACTGTCAATAAAGCTAATTAACTCATTTCATACTTGGAGCATGGCAGTATCAAGGAAATTATTTATTTCTTGACAAACTGTTATGTATTATTGGGAGTATTATGGCCTTTTCAGTCACAATAAAATCATACCAAGACTAGACCCCCAAAAAATAATAACAAACTTTCTTCTCTCTAAAGTTGCTGAATTCTCACTGATTACTTGTCTTTTTGTTTCCACTTGAAAACCGTCAACAGTTGTCTGAAAATGATCTGTATTTAGAAATGAAGAGATTTGGTCAGTTCAGTTCAACATGTGTTAAGGTAATTGGTAGTTTTATCAAAGAGCTTTTCTAGACATTAGTTGTTAGTCAAGGTTCCAACTTCACTGCAGATATACCATCCCATAACTGCTCAGTTGCTGTGCTGCTGGAAAACACAAAATATCCTTCACTGTCCCATCTGAAAAAACTATTGAAAAACTGCAACATTTTAAAGCTCACTCATGCAAAGTAAATGCCCAAGGCAACCATCAGATGTGCCAACTTTAATAGTCTTCCATGAGAATTGCAGCTCACCGTTAATTCAAGCAGTCAGTCATGGAAGCCACCACTGCACTTACAATACTGCATAAGTATATGTAATTCCAAATGTCGTCAGCCGTCTGCCATTTTTAGTGCAGTCTCAACACAAAACTGCCCTTGGCATACAAAAAAACATCCCACATGAAATCTACAGTTCACACTGTCACACAAGCACTCAGCTTAGTAGCTGGGTGTCAGTTAGTAGCTGAGTGTCAAAACTGTTGGACTCTTATTTCCAGAAATGAGGAAACTGCATTAGCCAGCAAATAGCTGGAATCAACAAACCTTATGAAGACATCATACAGGTGGAAGATGTAAAAAAGTGAAAGACACTTCGCCCAGGCCCGACGGGGTAAGATATTCCCACATGAAAGACATGAGTGATGCAGACCTGTTTGAGATGACTGCTTGCTTCGACCAGAGCATTAGGACAGCTTCAGTCCCAGAAGAGTGGATGCACAGCTACATGATTCCACCTCCTAAGCCTGGCAATCATTCAGTACTCAGGGGCTTTAGGATCACAACCCTACAAAACACCTTTGGTAAAGTGCTGGAGAAGATAGTGGCGGGTAAGCTACAAGAATTTTTGGAACAGAGTAATCTCCTTCCACGAGGATTGGGAAGTTACCACCCGAGAGAGGACACATGGTCAAATGCAGCCACTTTTGCCTTTGATACCTCTGAAGGTTTCCAGAACAGAAGGAAATGGTGGCAGCAGCACTCGATTTAGAAGACGCTTACAACAGAGTCAGATACAGTAGCTTGATGAAAGCGTTTATGGAGAAGGGAGTCTGTCCTTGGTGAATTGGATAGCAGCTGTTTTGTATACTCCCCGGGTAGCTCTCCGCCTGGGTTCATGGACCTCTGAACCATGTTCAGGACTGCCACAGGGATCTGCAATTTCACCTGTACTATTCAATGTTTTTATGAGCAAGATTGCATGCCTGGAAACACCTGGAGTTGGCAGAATATTGACATTTGCATGTATAGGAAGGGGAGAGATCGGAAATCAAATAGCTGAAGAGTTACAGGCAATAGTAGATAAGGTGACTGACTGGTGTACAGAGATGAGTGCTGTAATCCACACAGAAAAGGCAACCGTCCTGTGGTGTTTTTTGGACAACAGGATTGTTAGAGCTGATGTTCCCAGACTCAAAATAAATGGCAGGGACATCAAAAGAGACAGCAGACTGCAGTACCTGGGAATCACTTTTGACAAAAGTTTGTCTTTCAGGGATCACATAGAGGGTGTGGTGACAAGGGCTCAAAAGGTATAAATGCACTAAAGATTATGGCAGCGATGGACATGGAGCAGAGAATGCTGTTCACACTTAACCAGCACTTAATCACCTCAGTGATTGATTATGGATTGGGGTTACTCGCTGTCTCGAAGAGTCAGCTAGAGAAACTGGAGCGCATACAGAATGAAGTTATGCAGGTTATCCTGGGATGTACAAGAGACACCCCGATTGTGTGCATGAAATACATGCTTGCATTACCGACTGTTGCAAATAAGCTAAAGGTGCTGCAGGCTAAGCCATACCTCAGAGTAGCTGCAGACAGGGAACACCCTCCGTATGAAGCTTTGGCTGCAGGCAAGGGTCAGAGGCTGAAAAGGGGAAAGTCGTGGATGGCTCAAGCAGAAGACACAATAAGACAAGTATGCATGCCGGAGAACATTGGGCAAGGAGTGGAGTGGTTTAGAGTATCAGTGGGAAAGTCTGATCTTTGTAGGGTTATGATAACATTGGGCCGGGTGTGCAGAGAGTGGCCAGCGGGTGCTACAACAGTTGATTCATGACAATTCACGCCCAGGTGATTTGATTGTCTATACAGATGGTTCAGTGTTGAGAGGAAAGAGAAGTGCCTGGGGGTTCGTAGCGATAGCTAATGGAAAATCCTTAGTGCAAGACAGCCTAACATATGACACTACAACATCTAGCATGAGAATGGAGGTGGAGGTGGTAACTGCAGCTCTCCGATGGCTAGAGAACAAGATGCATACACGTGTCGTAATTGTAACAGACTCTGAAAGCATGCTGAAAAAGGTGAGGACAGGGATGCTTCGAGCAGAGGGACTAGCTTCACTGGAAAGGTCACGGGTAGTAAGCATACCTTGGATCTTTTCTTCAGGCTATGCCGGTGTGGTGGGTAAAAAACAGGCAGACAGATTGGCTGGATCCGCACCACTGGATAGGGAATTGATACATGACACGGCAGATGTGGTCAAGGCCCTTGGGAACAAGCAACGGAATCAGTAGAGAAAGAAGATTATTATGGCCTGGAGAGAATGAGGCACCTGGGTGTAACCAGAGGGTCTGGCCGGCAAACTACACTCAGAGGAAAGGCAAGATAGACTTTTAACCAGATTGTGACCGGTACCATCAGTATTGGAACTCTTAGCTGGCTGCTGAAGATGAGGACAGAGCATGCATGGGAATGCCCCGAGTGCTGTGATGTCAATTCTTGACTGAATTCAACTCATAGCTAGAATCAAAAAACTTTTCAAAGCATCAGTGGCTGAAAGCCTATCAGCCATATCAGACTGGAAGAAATGTAGCCATTATTTGATGTTATCACAGATGTCACCGCACATTGGGCATGCTCAGCCTCTGAATCAGAAGCTACTCAAAGTTACCTCTACTTATTGTTCCCATGAGAAGCTGGTAATAATTCTCTTCTCTTGACCTCAAAAACGGTCCCAGTGTGCTTCACCCAGCTTTATTCTTGGTCAAACAGTCATGGCAGAGATTCATCATTATTCACCAGCTTTGTCCATACAGCGTTGATAATATCATCTGTGTCTGTGATTCTTTCAACATGGATTGGTGTGTTACCTGCCAAATAGTCTTTTCTCTCATTCACTGCTTTTCACTCTGTCTTGTCCAGGTGTTTAGATCCAGGTGGAGGTCAAATTTGGTAAATGTCACTTTATTATTCACTGACCTTAAATGTGTGCTTCATGGACCCATCAGTATAGATGATGATGTTTTATGGACATAAATATTGATCTGTCTATGCCCTATTATTTGGTGTGGAATCGCTAGGTAGAACTTCATGATTTTCTGGAAATGTTCAAGTGGAAACAAATGTGGCTTGTATTTGTTTAATAAGCATTAACTGTCAATGGCAGAACAGTATTTATAATAGAAGACACTAATAAAAACTGTTACTATTGGAAATAATGAAATTGAATACAATTAGCTTGATTTAAATGAAAACATTACATTGCATTTACTAAGAACGTAGTGGTTTACAGCTAGACTGCAATGTCTGCTCCTTTCAACCTAACACATCAAAGTTCCTAATTAGTTGCCTTTTGTGACATGCTTGTGAAAGGGCAATGGGCCTATACCCCGTCCCCCCTTCTCCAGAACAGAGCCCCTGAACCCACATAGGGATGATGATGGTGCATTTTATTCACACTCTGATACAATTAATGCAAATTAATGCAAAAATGAGTCCATTTTTTCCCAACATCAATATGCAACATTAAAATGCTCTTTGCATAGAAACAAATTACAATTCTAGAATCAGCTGCTTGCAGACTTTTCCATCACAACTTCTACACTTTTAAAGAAAATAAACATAACAAAAATTGGTTGCAGAAATGATTAAGTGACAGAAGACTAATGGCACAAATTATGAAGTGACTCAACTGTCACTATGCTACATTACCAGCTGTGTTGAGCCGAGTGGTGTTGAGAACTGACATCACAGCACTCATGACATTCCCATAAGCACTCCATCCCAATCTTCAGCAAACAACAGAATGTCAGTTCTGAAAGTACCTGAAGCAGTCTGACTGTATGTCCATCTTGCCTTTTCTCTGAGTGTTAACTGTCAGCCAAATCTCCCAGTGACTCCCATTCTCTCCAAAGTGTGATGGTCTCTTTGTGCTTTTGCACTATTCACTTGCTTCCAAAGGGTCTTGACCACATCTAACAAGCCATGCATTAGTTTACCAAAATGTGTTGCATAACCAGCCAGTCATTTCCAAACACACCTGCATGCCATAGAGAAAATATCCATAAGTTTCTAACTGCCAGCAACTCCTGAAGCGTTGCTTTATCACTCTGCATGGAGCATGCTAGTCTCCACCTTTCTCAGATATCTTTGTATGTATGTTACAATCATAACATATGCGTGCAGCTGGTTCTGAAACCAATGGAAAGCTGCAGTAACTGCCTCCACCTCCATTCTCAAACCAGACATTATGGTAGCAAATGTGTAATCTATTGTCATATTTCTGTAGCAGACTACACTAGAAAACATGCATGGAGGTAATACATAGTTGTATTCAAATTACAAAACCCAGAATATTTATTAAAAATAATAAAGGATATCTGAGATGTGATGACACATTAATGGTCAGTTGTTTCTTGAGCCCAAAAACCTATATTGTAACTGAGGGAAAAAAAGGTCAAAATAATAAGCACTTTATAAAGATGCAAGCAGGGCAGTACTCACTTAAAATGACATAGGAACATTTTTCAAGACCAGTCTGAGAGTGAGACAGGGCTGCATACTATTCCATGTCCCTTTCAATGTGTATTTGGAACACATCATGAGAGAATCACTAGAACATCATGAAACATTTCTATCCATTGGCAGAAGACAACTGTGTCATTTACATTTTGAAGATGGCATTGATCTCGTGGCTGGTTCTGAAACAGAACTCCAAGAACTTACAACAAAATTAGAGACAGCCTATGGTAAATATGGCACAGAAATTATGTCGAGAAAAGCAAGATTCTTGTAAATTGTCATAATAATCAAGTACCTACCAACATACAGATAAAAGGGGGAAAAACTAGAAGAAGTTGAAACCTTTAAATATCTTGGCTCCCACACATGTAATGATGGCAGCTGTACCAAAGAGATCAAGACAAGACTTGAAATGGCAACAGCCACGATGTCTCAGCTGAAAGAGTGGAAGAGCAAAATCAGCATCGCAGCATCGTTCAATATTTACAAATCACTGGTATTGACTAATTTTTTAAATACAGATGTCAAAGTCAGACTCTCACTGTGGAAATGGAAAGGAGGATTCAGGCTTTCGAATGTAAATGCTATTGATACATTTTACAAATTAGTTATTTAGAACACAAAACTAATAAATATGTCAGAGACAAAATATCAAAATTTGCAGGACATCAGGAGCCTCTCTTCGCAGTGGTGAAATGTTGCAAGCTAGCTTGGTTCGGGCATCAAGTGAGACATGATTTGATTGTAAAGACTGAACTTCAAAGGGGGGGGGGGGAGGGGGTGTAGTTGAAGAGGAGGAGGGCAAAGAAGAACCTGGAATGACAACAAAAAGAAATGGACAAGACTAAGTTATCATCAAACAGAAGACAGAGAAAGATGGCAAGTTTTATGTGCTAGTGCTTCCATCAATACACCTGCACGACCCTAACGGGTTTAGGGTTATGGTATGTTCCTGATCACGGTATCTCTCCTGACATATGCCCATCCTCATGCTGGTCAGCCTCTGCCTCTCTTCTAAAGCCAGTGCCATGCCCTCCATTACTGTTCTTTGCAAGCCATTGTGACATTTCATGTGGCTGAAGTATTTTATTTCCAAGACAAGATGATGTTTACAAGTATGGCCTTGCATACCATCCAGATATATTGTAGTAATGTTAACTTACGACAGACATGATGGTAAATGTAGACTAATCTATTTGGTTTCCCACTGACATACAAACTATAAGATTTGCATGGAGCTCTCCCTATCTTTCAAATTTCATTCTCCAGCTCTTCTCTCCATGTGCTTTTTGGCCTTCCTTTATGCCTATGCCCCTGTGGGTTCCAATGCAAAGACATTCTAGTTATGCTGTTCTCCTGTTTTCTCAGTGTGTGTCCTATCCAACACCAGCGTCTTTTCCTCACCTCTTGGTGCACTGAAGCCTGTTTAGTTCTCTCCCAAAATTCTACATTAGTTATTCTATCATACCATTTAATTTCCTCTATTTTGCGCAGGCACCAGTTAATGAATGTCTGTAATTTATTAGTATTTGCCTTAGTTGTTCTCCATGTTTCCACCCCATAAAAAGTACTGATTTGACATGTTAGTTGCGTATCCTTTACAGGACGTTGCAGAACCAACCCCATCAGCCAGGTTGGCTGTTGTATGGTTTCACTAGGCAAATTTACATCCAGTTGTTTGCCACTGCTTTCTGGACGGTCGGCTCCCTGATACCACGGTCGAAACCAACGCAAGGTGCATGACCCGCAGCTGGGATCGAACCCGGTATCCCGGCATTACGAAGCGTTTGCATCAACTTAGCCACAGAGCCGATGATTTGACATTAGAATTACAAATATTTAGTTTAGTATTTCTTTTAATTTCTTTTGACTTCCACAAATTCCCTAGTGCTATGAAAGCTCCTCTTGCCTTTTGTATTCTTATTTTAATATCTCTGTAAGTTCCTCCATCTTTATCTACATTACTGCCCAAAATGGTGTACGACTCATGTCTAAGAGTGGGGTACCATTAAGAGAAATCACATTAATTACTATTTGCCTGATTTATTCTCATTATCTTTGTCTTTCCTTTATGGATTTTCAGACCAAGCTGCTATGATCTCTCATCAAGTATATTTAATTTATCTTGCATCTGATTCCGTGAATGGGACAGAAGGAAAATATCAGTGAAGTCCAGATCATCAAGCTGTTTTGTAGGGGTCCATTGAATTCCTTTCTTGGTGTTAGCAGTTACTGTTTTCATAATCCAGTCATAAGTTTTCATAAGCCAGTAAAAATAAGAGGCGACAAAAGACATTCCTGTCGCACACCTTTTTTTTTTTCAAATGTATCTGTTAGCTTTCCCTCATCAACAACTCGACATTTCATGTCTTTATATGTTGCCTTTACTAAGTTATTTTTTTAGTGATTCAGACTGTTAAAACACAGATTGTGGATGCAGAGTATTGGAAACCCTCAGCAAGAAAATGTGTGAGTCAGGGAAACTAGCAGAGGGTTCAAAATCTCTTTAGTGGGTCGTGATGAGATCAGTATTCTGATTATAATATAATTCTGTCTTAAATTGCTGTCAGAGGTGAACAACACAAGCCACAGATGTAGATTTGGAAGGCTTACTGACTGACTGACTACCTCCCTCCAGACACACTGGACACCACAGCATGGTGGTCGTCAGTCTAACAGGTCAAATGCTAGACACTTAGATCAGCATTATAAGATAGTTGCAATTTAGGCACCCATAGGACCTCATCAAGTACTACTTTGTCATGAGATGAAAAGGAAAATAAAGTGACACATGTGGAATGCAGGAGGAACCATGACGATAATTTCCTAGACTTATGTAAGGTCACAAATCTGGATCTAGAGAAGAGACGTGCTTAACAGTTGTTGACTAGTCATCATCAGTGTGAATAACTGGGCATGAACAACTCAATGGTTAGAAGCTTGCCTACGTAACTACAAACTTCTGGGAGACTACATCAAGAGAAACTAATATCTTGGTGGTAAAGATGTTATCATATTTAGTAACACAAGTCGGAAAACAGCAGCTCAAAATTTGGCAAACAGCATAATATATATAATGGAAAATAAATAATTGCACAATAATGTTTTTTATTTTGTTTGAACACAGTTAAACATACATATTTTAAACCAAAGTGATTCCAAGATTGTTGGCATTACATTTACATTATATGGTATATTATTGCTGCAATGCATATATATTAACTAAACATGAAAACAACAAAATTTATTCTGTATGTGGTGAATGTTATTGATTATATCCATGCAGGCAAAAAACCCTTCCTAATGGGTGACAGTCCAAGTGAAGTTGACTGTTCTGTATTTGGAATGCTGGCGATGATTGTGTGGCAGATGCATGGATCCAGGCATGAAAGTCTTCTCCAAGGTAGGCCTATGCTGGAATGTTAACATGTAGTATAGTGGTTTGTGTACATGCCCACCAAGACAGTGATCTGGATTCAGTTCCTAGAAGTGGCAGGATTTTTTCTGACAAGTACAACTCTGATCTGTTGCATAATAAAGAAAATGGGTACATCTAATTTCCAATTTTCTGGCAGTTATCCGGAAAAGAAAACTGATAAAGAAGGAGACTGTTTACCTTCCCCTGATTGGTGAGAGCCTAGAACTTCAGACCTCCAACAGCACTGTCTGCTATGAGACTAACTTTTAAAAAGAACTTATCATACTGCTAATAAATGTATTAAAAGCATTTTATTTTATGCTTTTCATTTAATATATCTTTCTACCTGTTAACTCGCATTCATTCACACAAGGTTTTAAAAACACTGTCAGTCCTAATCTTTTTACATTTTGTACAACCTGGGATGTAGTTATAGTTTTGTAATAAAAGGTAGCAGCAGAGCAGTTACTGCCATTAGCTTAAAGGATGTGTGATGAATTAGACTGCTACCTATTTAAGATGGGAGAGACCAGTTTTTTTAGCAAAGTTACAGAAAAATTTTGAGAATGATCACTGCAGTCAGTATAATTGCGGTGTGGTGACTTCAGTTAAAGGCAAGGGTAGATATAGTTAAGGCTGTTAAGCTGCATTTAATGGAATATCTTGTACATATGTTGGCAGTTTTGTTCTCATTTTACTGAACCCCATTTATAACTTTGACCGTAAGCCACAGTCCTGCACAACCCATTAAATGTCTGGTCTTGAAATTTTATAAATAAAAGGTTTGTAATACATAAAGCTGTTTTCCTCTGACCCTCATACAGTAGTCAGTTTTATACAATTACAAGCGTAATTTATAAATATTCAAACAGGAAATGTATTGCTCAGTTTATAAATATAGATCAATATATTGCTACATAAAATTACTGAATTTGAAGTCAACTATATTAAAACACGGCTTCTGGTGTCTTTATTTCCTTTAATTTGTGTGTGTATGTTTGTTTGTTTACAGGTGAACTTCTAAATCTGGTGAAGTATTGTGAAAGAATGCGGGATTTATTTTGGCCTGACTGGAAACAGAGATGCAGGGGCAATGGTTTTGTGAATGATAATCATAAACTGTACACTTTTTGATATGTTAGTCTAAATAGCTAATGCGAAATGACATTTAAAAAAAAATTATAATTTAATTACAATAAAGCAGCTACCTCAATAAACATGCTCCGGTGTCACAGTGATGAATCAATGACATAATGATATTTTGATATGTGCATGTTTGCATAATAAAACATTGGACATTAAATTTAAAAAAAAAAAACTAAAATGCACAAAGAAAAAAAGATAGCAGACTTTAGTTTTTATGGAGTATGTTATAATGACAGTGACTAAAAAAACCCAGATCTTTTCTATTAAGGAATAAACATATATTTTAAGAATAACACAAATTACATAAATTTTACTTTTAAAACTGTAAACAGATGAGTATGCTCATACAATTTATGGCATGACATAGCATTTTCTTTAAAAACAAAATGTAATTCACATAAAAGTGAGGCATTATACAATCCCCAAAACCAGTCAAAAAGTCACACATCTATATTCAGCATACAAAGATATTAATTGTAATTTACACTGGTGATGCAAATTGTGTAAACCATTAAAGCCATGAATAGATTGCAGTCTGCTTTTTCACATGCCTGAACTGAAACCAGTATTGGTGAACATGGCTCTCCAGTCCTGTCTGTTGTTTGATATTTTAAAGAAGTAGAGACACTGAGGTAATTATTTGTGGTCCTGCTATTAAAGCTTTGGAAATAGATCTTTTTTGTTTTGTTTTTGGTCAGCCTCTCACACATGATATTTTATTAGATAAGGCTGTATCGTGATTAACAAAAATGTTGATGTACTCAATACATTGCATTTGGCTATTTGTTTTCTGGTTTTATAAGCTATGTAGTTTAATACCTCAGCATCTATTTTCAAACTTCTTCTCAACAACCACGTCTCATCATCCTCCGATTGTGTCCAGTTTCAGAACTTTGTCCAGCAGTCACATCTGTACAGAAGAAACCAAACCCAGCTTTTTAGTTAGAAGATTTCTGTACCTGTCGTGTTATAGTTTTTTTTATGAGATGGTTTTTTTAAATAATAAATAATAATAAAAAAAAAGCTTTAAATTCAGAGTGTGCCCTTTCTCGATCTCTGTGCCACATCTTCCAATAGATGTTTAGCCTAGATATTTAATTTAGGGGGGGGGGGGGGGGGGGGGAGGGAACTGGACCTGCTAGAATTCTCAAAATTGTCACTATGTAGAGCATAATACCATTTGTTTCATCATTATTTTTGTTATGATTAAAGTGCTTTATTATTGTTAAAGTGCGTTCACTTTTGCTAACTTTGGAGCTGGAGTGACTTTGAGTCTACGATGCTCACTCTAACACTGTCGATGAATTTGCAGTTGCTTACTGTTTATTTTATGGGGTTTCAGTAAGCTGCATATCTTCTTTCTCCACTCTCTCTTTCACACACACTCAGAGTGAGTACTGTATATTTAGAGAGAATCTATCTGGAAATGCATCAGTGCATAAAAAGTCATTACTGTGACTTTGAAGAATTTAAGTTATGATGGGTTTGATACCAATATCCTTTTCACTAATTCACATTTTCTCATTTGATTTTAAGTTATGCTCATGGAATAATATGATTCCAGTTATTCCTTTGAAATGTTACAAAATTGTTTTGTTTATTTAACTTACTCTATTTTTTGTTTTCTATTGATTGTGTGTCCTTGAATAAAGTATGGTTACATTGATTTTCTTTTATCCTATACCTTTAAACTTATATTTTGTGGTTGATGTAGAGTACACTTTTGATTTTACTATGACAGTAATTTCTTATTCCATAACTGTAGTTACATACATATAGTTTTGATGTATAATACAGCATTATATGTATACTATCATTGCACTAATCGTACATGAGATTTATATCCCCCTCCCCCCACCCTCACCAGCATCACATGCTATTTGTACCATTCAAACATTTTTTTTTACCTCATACATACTATAGAACATCTCTATACCAAGGCCAGCAGTGCTGTCACACTGAAAAGACAAATAGGAAGCTGGTTCCAAACAACAGTAGGAGTCCGGCAGGGCTGCCTCCTCTCTCCAACACTGTTTAACATCTTTTTAGAAAGAATTATGACTGATATCCTAGAACAATATCAAGAAACAGTTAGTATCGAAGGTCGAAATATAACAAACTTAAGGTTTGCAGATTACATTGATGGGCTGGCTGGGGAAGAACAAGAACTAGTCGAATTTGTAAATCTACTCAATGAAAAATCAACCAAGTATGGCATGGAAATAAATGCAGAAAAAAACAAAATTAGTGACTAATAATTCAGCTGACAGAATTTCACCAATCTACGTTCAAGGTTACAAATTAGAAAAAGTGAATCATTTCAAATATTTAGGATCCATTTTAAGTGATGTGGGGTCAAGACCAGAAATTATGTCTAGGATTGCCCAGACCACATCAGTCCTTGCCAGGCAGCAAACATTATAGAAATCTAAAAACGCTTCATGCAAGACTAGGATTCGATTGCTCAGAGCACTAGCTATTAGTACATTTACATATGTCTGTGAAACGTGGACCTTAACAGCTGAACTTGAAAGAAAGATACAGCCAGCAGGTTTGCTGCTTGTTTACCAGTGAAAGTCTTCCCACCATCTTCAGTGGCAGTGTGGGCACGGCTGGTATTATTCTCCTCATTGAGACTCTTTACTAGATGCCATAACTTTTTACCATCTTTCTCCACTTTGAGAGCTGCAGTCTTTTCCTGCCATCTTATCTGGATGCATGTGAGTTTTCTTTTTCCATAAATAACCTGATGTTTATTGTGTTCTGTTATGCTGAGGTCAGAGGGATCTTGTTCCATTTTTTTCTCTTGCTTCTGTGTTCCTTTGGTGCAGTTGTTGCAGTTCTTGAGTCCAGAAGGGTTCATAGTTTTGCCTTCGACCAAGGGAAATTGATTTTGTGCTGCATTGAGTATGATAATGGTAAGAATTGTCTTTTTATTCTATTGTCTTCCCAGACGAAAGTGTTACATTCTGCTATGAGGAGGTATGGGACTCACAGCCCATCGTGATGGCGAGTGTGTCTAGCAGGACCCGCCTGCGTTAAGAAAAGTCTTCCACAATTACAGTATGGAATTTAAGGACCATTGTTGTCAACATTTGTGTTTAGTCTGTTTCTTTTCAAATCCTCAGCTCTCATCCTTTTCTCCAGTCGTTTCTTCCTTCATTCTTATTCTCTTCCTGAGGTGCCCCCTCCACACAGCACTGTCCATTTTGTTCCCACGAGTCCACCTCTGTACCTGTAACATTCATGTCCCGCTTGCACGTATCTTTATATCGTAGTAGAGATCAGCTTTGACATCTACTACCAGTCTGTAATTCCTTAGGGACTCTGCAATCCTCAATTCTCCATTTGTGACCCAACCACCTGAGCCTTCATAGACTGAGCATTGAGAAAACTGTTGGAATACCTGCTCTTTCCAGTACCTCAGTGTTTGAGATCTTGTCCTACCACTAAATGCCAAGTTTTCATCTTAGGTATTGCATGTGAAAGCTATTTAGCCGTCTCTCCTGGTGTGAATAAGCTAACCAAGTTTCACTGCCATAAAGCAGAGTGCTGAAAACACAAGCTTGATAGACTAGAGTTTTTGTTTTAATCGTGAGCTTTCTGTTCTCCAGAACTCTGTTAATCTGCTCATTACTGTTGCTGCCTTATCGGTCCTGATTTTGATTTCTTATCCCAGGGATAGTTTGTTATTCACTGTGGAACCCAGATAAGTAAAATGGTCAACTTTCTCCGGCTCTTCACCGTCCATGTAGACTGCAGGTTTATCATTAACACTTTGTACCTTAAACTTTGTCTTCTTTTTGCTGATTGTTAGTCTTAATTCATAGCATGCAGATAGTAAACATTGCAGCTCCTCCTTTGAGTGGGTGATTATTGCTGCATTATCTGCAAACAGCAGCTCTCAATACCTTTCTTATCCTGGTTTTGGCCTTCAGCTTGTGATCCTTGTAAAGACTGCAATCAGATTAAGAATGGATGAATATTCTACCCTCTTGAAAGGCATTTTCCAAAAGAAGTATTTTCTTAAGAAGGTAGGAGCAAGCACACATCCTTGCTTCACTCCATTGTTTATTATAAACTCCTTCAATGTTACACCATCAAAGTTGATTATACCTTTCATACCTGTGTGGAACGTCTCAATAATGTGCAGTAGGGTAGGTGGACACCCAGTCTTCTTCAGCGTATTGAACATACTTTTTTGACCAACCAAATCAAATGCCTTGTAAGATCAGTAAAATCAGCATACAGTGGTTGATTTTGTTCGCAGCATTTTTCCTGCAACTGTCTTATTGAAAATGTCATATCAGTGATAGACCAGTTTCCACAAAAGCCACACTGTGACTCTGGGTAAAGCTGGTATCTTAGGATCTAGAGTCTTCGTTATAGGGTTAGAGTGTCTGGCTATCTGCCATAGCCTTAGCCTAGACAGTATACCCTTAGCCTTGACAATATTGTAGAGACCATATGTTGCCCATGCATCATGATCCCTTTCTTGACCTGCCTTGTTTACTCCAAAGGGAAGGTAACCCCAGTACGTTTGGAACAAAGCAGGATGCAGAGGAGCAGTGCTCTATCTGACTGTTGGAGCTTCCCACCTAGACCAGCTGCCAAAACACAGAATATTAATTCTGTCAAAACTACATGAATTTACAGGTCACACACATTCACTTACAGTGTGGTGAAATGTCTAACTAAAGACTGTAATTTCACTTTTCTCGGGCTACATTTTTGTTATTGTTGTTGTTGTAACTTGATCTTCAAAAAGCATAATAAATCTGATAAAAATATGAAAAGAGATTGGCAAAGTACTAATAAAATACAAGGACATTAGTTTTGCTTATTGATTTACTGAGCAAGTTTCAGTTATAAAGCACACAACATGAAGAAGGCTCTCTGAAATGTCAAAAATAAACTCTCTCTCTCTCTCCCTCCCTCCCTCTCTCTCTCTCTCTGTCTCTCTCTGTCTCTCTCTCTCTTTCACACACACGCACACGCATGCATGCACACACACGTACACACACAAATATAATGAGCAAATAGAAATGATAATGTAATAAACAACTAAAGCAACAGAACCAAAATTGACAGTTTAGTTTTCAGCAAATTCAAGTAGTGGGCTTATCAAAAGCGGCTTATCAAAAGCAAGAGGACAGATAAGAGAAATCTGCATCACTACAGTTGGACTATATTTCCATCACTAGCAGACCTAATAACAACTTCTACACTCGCTTTGTTCTTGTGTACTTGTAATGTTCCGTAACCAAGAACACTATTGTCTGGAGAGAACAATTCTCCCCCGGCTGTTGGGCTATTAATACAGTAATGATTGCTGTCATTTTGTAGTCTGGTCTTTGAGAGTGGTAGTTTTGCTAGATTTTGTGGGAAAAGTGTGTGGCTATTGCCAGATTGTGAATTTGTTTCTGATAGAGTAGTATGGTGCTTAAGCAGAGGAGCTCTAGCTTGACTGAGGGGTGTTGTATGACGAGATGTACAGGCAGACTTGAGATCTGTGTCTCCTGTGTCCAGCGACAGGCAGTCTTCTGCAGCTTCAGATGGAGGCAATGTTCCGGTTCTCAGTGAGCCAATTAGCTTCTGTGTTTTAACAAAAGTAAACATTTTAACATAAACTATAGATAATAAAAAAAGATTCTAATATAAACAAAGCACATTACAATATTAGTTCAGTGAATATCCTTTGTAGAACATCACAGATGAACTCCAACATTTATCCGCTGTGTGTTTGTGCTAGTCAACTGTAAGTCAAGTGGATTGCTATTGTTTTCTGAATGCTTCAATGCTCATCCTATTATCAAAATCAATGCAAAGATGTCTGTTGCCTTAATACTTGCATCTGAAACAAACTCGTGTCATAATTTTGAATCTGCATTTATAACCTCTAAGTCACAGATACAAATATTAGATTGTTGTAAAACTAAATTAAAGAAGATGAAACGGGAAGAAATAATTAGAATGTTGAAAAACTCTTATTTATCTTCCTTGACGTTTGCCAGCTGTAAACTCTGGCAGAGGTACTGGTTGTTCGCCCACTTCTAGGCTTGATCAAGAACTTGAGTTCTGTGTGCACATTATTTTACAGATCTGGCTTATCTGTATGCAACCTGTTAGTCCCTTGCCTCTCAGGCATATGCACTCTGACTTCCAAGAAACCCCAACTCCTCTAATTAGTTGCTTCCTACGACATGCTTGTTAGAAGTGGGTCTGTTACCCCCCTTCCCTCCCTCCCTACCCCAATGGGGTCCTGGAACCAACATGGACAATTTCATTTATGATTATTAAATGATTTGTAATGTACTGGCAGCAAAATCCAACCGTAACATTGGCAAATTTTTACAACACAACAGGGCTGTGTAATGTCACCAAATCCATTACATTGTTGAGATGTATGCAAGATATACCAGGAAAACAGTTGCCTGACATAAAGGAAATATAATGGGATATGGTAATCATAAATTTTGATCACTGAAAAGAAATATGGTGCTGTTCACATTTCCAGGCCAAGGATTAGAATAAGTTCCCTTGCCGTTCATGCCTCCTTAGGTCACTGGACATTTCCTATGTTGCGGGGGAGTCATATTTTCCTTATTGTGATAGTTTAATGGTTGCCTTTTTCTTCGTCTTCTCATCGCTGGCTTGTGTAATTATTTTTCTAATCTGCGAGATTGTTTGGAAGTATGGAAACTGCTATATTTTTCTATTCCTAAGCTCCTTTATCTCAGAGAGCCACCGCCAGCGAACATAGAAATACAAAAACAACCCAGTTTCAATAGCCAAGAAGCTGTGCTTTTCCTTGCAGTACTTCTTACTTGTACACAGGCGCCTGTGGCACCTGAAATAGACTCACAACACAACCTCCCGCAGACATTACATACGCCGAGTGAACACCAAAATAAGCCATATCATAACACTCCCGCAACATAGGAGAGGTCCAGCAACCTAGGGAGTCATGAATGGCAAGGGAAGTTGCTTTAATCCTCCGCCTGGAAACTTGAACAGGACAGAAAAGCAATGACAGGAAATAAGAGGTATAACTGTAACAGAAAAGTCAAAGTTCTTTTTTTTTTTAAATTAAACCATAAAAAAAACCATAATGACAAAGAAACACAAATATCCTCAAGAATACAATGTTTAAATAAGCAAGTGAGTCTGTTCAAGTTTATGCATACCTTAATAACTGCAAATAACTGTGTTTCTACTGAAACAAACGTATAGGCTATATATAGAGCCACTTTTAATGATGGAAGCAAATCATAAATAGTGAACCGATACTTCTTCTTCTTCTTAAAGTCCGTGGCTTGTATTGTTGACAGTCTTGTCTATCCACAAACTTTTTGTCTCGTGGTACTTTTAATCAGCTCTCATACAGATAATCTCCATGCCAAGCTGTCCAGCATCTGTTCTATCAGTCTCCCTGTGCCTCTCTTCCCCTCCGACTTTCCTGCTATCACCATGTGCTCCAGTTTTCTCCTTCTCATCATATGACCAAAGAATGTAGATTGTCTCTTTCTGATGTAGGCAATCATTTTTCCTTGTGAGTCAGTTTCTTTAAAGACATCTTCATTACTTCTTTTATCTGTTCAGATTATTCTCATCATTCATCTATGAAACCTCAGATTAGGCAGCAATTATCTTACTAATCTGTTTATTTTGGTCTATGAATGCATTTCTTTCTAAATTTGTATTTGTGAACTGAAATAAAGACATCACACAGACATATGAGTTACCTCTTTGAATGAACCAGGCTGTTTGAGTATTGTATGTATGACACCTGAAACAACCCCAAGAACCAGTGGTGACACACTGACACACCAGCCCAGGTTTTCAGCCCAGCGTTGCTCGTAGCTCACAACCGCCTCTGGATACATGAACACAACAAAGTTGTGGATGAGCAAGCACTGTGAATAAAGCAAAATATTGAGGAGTTGAGTGTAAATGTTTATTGCAGCTGATATAAGTTTCCGTATGTACGTATTTTAGTTGAACCCTAGCAGGACATCACACAAGCAACAAACACAAAGTGCCACCATGCGGATGTGGACCACCCGTAGAGAGGTCCCGGAAACCCAGTTCAGCCGTTTAGCTATATTTCAGGCCCAGCTTTATTTAGGGCTCCCTGAAAAAGCCAGGGCGGGGCTCAAAAATAGCTAAAAATTTTATCCCACATGGGGAAACGATGAGTTTCTGTAGAAGCTGACATCTTAAAAAACAAACAGCTGCCAAAATAATCCGTGTGAACATTAAAATTGCATCTTGACTGACTTGCAATTTTAAGAAACAGTAGATAAGATATCCTACGCTTCGAACGACCCTTTTAAAGATAATGCTTGCTATACCATTTTAAATGGATTTGCAAAGAAACTGTTTAAAAACTGCTCTAAGGTATGTACACAACTGGTGTGTGATTGGCACAGATAGCAAATATTAGCCTTCAAAGGCTATCACGGTAGAGAGGTGGCTGTAGAGTTGCTTACATTGATGAAGGCTATGGATAGAGGCACGACGACATGTGTTTCACATATATATACCGTGACTAGATTGCTTATAGACATTTGTACACAATAAAAGATTTCAAAAAAAATTTTGTTTTTAATGTTTTAAACGAAAAAACATTCATATTTTTGAAGAATGATTAATGATAATTTGCATTTAATTTTCGATATTTATCTGTCGCATTAATGTTTCAAGGATGCGAATCAAACAGAAGCATATCACAGAAACCCCGTTCCGTGGCATGACAGTTATAGTAGGGCACCTTTACAAGCAACATGTAGCCAAGTAAACCATTTCAGCTCATCAATGGGCTCAACAGTATCTGTTCTTCTTATAGTTCGCGAAGTGTGGTAATGGTGATAACATTTGCCCAGGCTACTATCACGTGTGCTGGCAATCATTTCTAATCCATGATTTCTATTCTTTGATGCCAAACTGTCTTAGCATCTTCTCTCACTGACTCTCTCTAATGTCTTCCTCTTCCATGTCCCCGCATACTTTACTCATGACGGACTTCAGGAATGGGGATTGTGGTTTTCTGAAGCAGGTAATCAGTTCCCTTTGTGAGTTAACTGCTTTCAAGTCATCTTTATTGGCGCTTTGGTAAGTCATGTTCTAATCATTCTTCAATAAACCTGCACCGAAGGGATTTCAACATTCGTTTATTAAACACATTTCTTTCTTAGGCCCTACTGGATCAGCTTGCCTATTTATAACCTGTTCAGGATTCACGGGCATATGCTACACATTTTTTTTTTCATGTAGGGAAAAGGTGTATACAAAATTAACAGAAAGTAGTGTCAAAGATGACTTTATTATTATCATTACAGATTAATAAATAAAAGTTTTAGCCTAAAGAAGTAAAAACATTTTTAGAGTACATCTGAGCAGCTCATAAAAGTATTATAATCAGACGAATGAAGAGAAGTCATTCAAGTATGTTTGTTTGGTGACTGCAGACATGAAATGAGAGGAACAGTTAAAGATTGCCAGCGAGACAGTGTGTTTACAGGTTTGCAAACGAACTGGTAATTAATTAATTCGAGCTTGTTATTTGTCTAGTGAGGACGCAGAAGAAAACATGTTCCGCTTATCTAGGAACAAGTGACCATTTCTATTTATAAGTATGATTTTAAGTGAATGTTCGTTATATTTTAACAGTATTTGGATGCAGCTGTTCTTGTCGACTATTTAAAGTTCGTAACAAAGTGGAATATATTTTACTGTAGATCATTACTACTAGTTTTTATGGCAATCACAGAACTTTAGATAAGGGAAATTAGCCATTGAAAGAAGTAAACCGTGCCCCTCAGCCGAGGCCCTGTATTTTTGTGTGTGATGCAGCTGTGGTTATTTATAATCGCTTTGCTGCTACAGTCAGTTTTCGTGTACATTCATTAATTCCAGCAGGCAGCTTCCATATTTGCTTCCAGTTCCGATAGCAGCAATGCTGGCCCAGTTTCCAGAATCCTGGACAAGGAAGGTTCGGGGATCCAGAGTATCAACAGTTATGACATAGTTATGTCATAGAAATGTACCATTTTACAACGGCCTTCTCTATTTATTAGTAATTAGAGACGGCGTTGCATTCTACAAAGCAGAGTCAAACATATTACAGCCTGCCTACAATATTTATGCAAGAAATTTATGCAACCAAAGTCCACAGCTACATATTTGTTGGTTGTGTCACACAAAAGAGAACAAAACAAGTATTGTAAAAATAAAAAATGGTAAGTACATTTCAAAGAACGACAAGTTACAATATTAGAGAAGCTTTCTCAATTAAATGACAGGCTTTTTATACTTCATTGATTTAGTAACAGAAAATATCATAGGCTGAGAAAGTAAGATTTTGCAAACTCTAAGGCATGACACATGATGGACACAAAATGAATTAGGAAGAGAAATAAGTGTGTTTATGACATTCTAGCATAAAATACTATGAATGTAGATTTGGAATCAAGATGGCTTACTGCAGTTATGACAGATGCAATGCTATACCACAGCCCCATGAAGATTCTATCTATTGGTGTTCGTAATGCTTCCTGGCGTACTGAAAGATGGAAAACAAAAACGTGTCAGTTAACAGATATGTTGCCAAAGAACGGAACAACCAGGCAAACTTTTATTCAGGCTGCACCATTAAAATGGGAACACTTCGTGGTTATTGAGGTAGGGGGTGGGGCAGGTATGAGAATTCAAATCTCAAATAAACGAGAATTATTGTTGAATACTCTTCAAGGCTTGCTCTCTATAATAAATTATTTTTTACTATAAACTGTCCACCCGTGTTTAACTTGAATCCGCCATAATATATTGCCGGTATGTTACACAATATCGCTCACATCACGGGCCACATAAACAACAGCCAGTCTTCCATATTTTCCTCCATTTCGTGCATTGTCACGACAAGTATTTAAAATCTTCTAACGGGATGTTCAATGACTTTGCAAAGTGGTGAGGGCGCTAGCATATTTTCTGTGCCTTGAATCCATTCTTCTGATGATATTCCAACACACGATGATGATGATGTCACCGCTTTGGCATGGCATGGAATTGTTTGTCAACAGGTCTGACAAAACCATGGGTTCACGTGTGGTCAGCAACAGACCAGCGTCCATACTCCGTGTTTTTATACTCACAGTAAGCCTGTAACTGAAAATGAACGTTTATCTGGTTATAATAATTAGAAAGAACCATGGAAAGACTCGAAACAAACTTAACGCTGTACGAGCTGGACTGGTGGATAATGACAAGTCCCTGGCGCCAATCTGATGATATCATCTTGAAGTCAAGCCTGCTCGTCCTAAGGTCGTGGTTTCGATTCTTAACGGAGCCGGTTTTTTTTTTCTTTTCAAAAATGACCTTGGCCTCCAGGTCGACCCAGCCTTGAGTGGGTACCAGGTAAAGCTCTTGGAAGTAAAGGGACCGGTATTACTTTGACCACATCACCCGCCGCGTGCCAATCGGTCTATAAAATATTGGTAATGTCCTGTATGCACTTGAAGGCGTGGGTGAAAACCCGTTAATTTTTACTTTTAGAGACATTATAACCGACCTTCCATCGAAACAATCAGTATAGGAACACTGGGGGATTTCTGAACTCAGGATTGCACACACAGTGGAATGCACGCTGGTGATAATATAACGTATCATAAAATGGGCGAATAAAATAGTTATTTTAGACCAGCTACTTCACATCAAAACGGAATGGCTCCTGTGACTGTGTCCATAGCTGTCTCAAACCTCTTCCTAAGTCCGGGAAAGAGTATGCAAAAATAAATGCACTCCTGGACACCGTACATAAACTCATGGATAATATAGTAACCAGAACTTTGACCCGAACATTGCAGTCACGTGGCACCTCCACTAGGGTATACCGTCCGGGTAGAGATACCCCATGCAATGCTGCAGTACTTACATGCGTCACTATGAGGGCTCATCAGACTGTTGTCGGACATGTACATCGAGACAAAATGGGTCAACTGGATTGCAGTGGCGCTCTGCGAAAGAACAGTGTCACTGAGATGCAGTACGTGGGCATCGAAACCTCAACGTGTCTTAATGAGTTTGCCTCTTGTATCACGGCTGTAAGTAGTTATAGGCGCTAATAAGTCATATTATGCCTGGTTGTCTGGTCTGATTGTTGCCTGGCTAGGTGGTTGTGTGGCAGACGCTTCGGTCAAGATTGTCCCCAAGATGTTGGTTAATTTTTTTTTCGATTTTCTATTTAAATAAGTTCAAACATTCAAAAAAGTAAAAAGTGCAAAAATAAAAAAATACAATTTTAAAAATGTCTTCTAAGGTAATATTATTCATCTGTACATACATACCGTAATTGTAACTGACTCACAGAGCATACTGAGAAAGGTAGAGACAGGTATGATCCGTGCAGAGTGGCAAGCATCACTTCCTTTGGATATTATTTCCAGAAATGCCGGTGTGTTGGGAAATGAGCATGCAGATAGTCTGGCCGGTTTTACACCACTTGGTGGTGAATTGATGTATGACAAGCTGGATGTTGTGAGGGCCCTCTGGGAGCGAGTGAACAATGCGGAAGCGCAAATAGTTCATTGTGGTCTGAGGAGAATGGTGCCACGAGGAGTTACCAGGGGATCTGGCCCACGCTCAACACTCAAAGTAAGTGGAGACGGATATACAATAAGAGAATTACTGGTGTCGTCGGAATTGGGACACTTCGTTTGCTGCTAAAGATGGGGACGGGGCGCTTATAGGAGTGTTCCGAGTGCTATAATGTCGATTCTTAATTCAACATTTACTACATTTAGGTAATATTAAACAGTTTGAACACAGCGTTATGTCCCTTTAACACGATAAAACTAGTAGTTTGAGACAAACAATATCATTGTTAGTTATGGACCCAAAGTGACAAAGTGAAGAAATCCCTATAAAGCTCTGATAGCGGTAGCTACGGCAGAGATAGAAACGTTTTTGTGCTGAATTTTTAAAGCATTCGGGCAATATGGTCAACCCGGTACCGGAGAAGATTATTTGGTGATTCGTGGAATAGCAACCCCAGTATGACAACATGGCGGTGTCATCTTTAACAAAGGCCTGCCCAATGGAAAAATCAGTCAGCAGCAGTATTTTGGGTATACGATATTCTACCAGTCAGACGACTTGGATGCGTCTGCATCTATCCAATCAGACGGCTTGGCGGCGTTTACCTCTAACCAATCAGACGACGTGGCACAGACGTTTTCTGGAAAGGCAGGGAGCTTGGTGGTGACGGCAACGTGTGTTCGTGACCGAGAGTTCTCAGCAGTGTTGTGAGTATTACACATTATTCCTAGAATCGCCTACTACTAACAATCTCAAGATATAAGAAGGCAGCTAGACGCCATGATTTTTACGCTTCAAGAAGAAGTAAAGAGAAGGAACAGACCAAGAAGAACGTGGATACTGTGAAGAATAATCTTGACTTTGCAGAAGCTATCATCATAGAGAGTGAAGATAGTGACCCAAGAAGAAGTAAGGAGGAGGAACAGATCAAGAAGAATGTAGTTGCTGTGGAGGATGATGACGACTTTCCTGAAGCTATCATCATAGAAAGGGACAATAGTGGCCAGTATAACTTGCAGTCAACTAACGCGCCCAATACAGCCAAGAATGACACACCAAGAGACATGCTGGCAGTAGAACCAACTACATCAAAGAACACTATTACAACTGAGGAATCAGATGACAGTACGATCGAACCAGCTTATATGCCGGCTGAGGAGGAGACTCCAAGCAACGCAAGAATGTCCAACGGTCCGGTTATCAAGACACGAGTAAAGATTTACCAAATAAACGAAAGAGGAACCAGACTCCTGGACTTATCGAGAACCAAAATAACCAGATACCTGGAGACTTCACTAGGGATAGGAAGCATATGCAGACTCAGAAAGACACAAGAGGGTCTGATCGTTATGCTGAATGAAACCAAACAGACGAAGAGAATGACTGAGGACATTGGTACACAGCCTACAATAGAATTATAGCTACCGGAAAAGATACTGGTAGCAGCCAAGATGTTTCAGGAGATCCGAAAGTGGGTGGTCAAGAGAGTGAATACTAAATGGTCAAACCAGGAGATCGCAGAGCACTTGAGAAGAGAAAACCCGAAGATGAGTATAATCAGAGCAGAGAGAATCATTTCCAAAGACATGAAATCAGCAGTAACAGTGTTGACGACAGAAGGTGAGAGTATTCCAGAAACAGTCAAGCTTGATAATAAACTACAGAAACCAGAGATATATATCCCAAGGGTGCTCCAATGTTCCAGATGTCAAAAGGGATTTCATACCAAGTCAGTGTGCCGCAGCAAAACAGAGATTTGCAGATACTGTGCTGACTCTCATTCCTATAATGAGTGTCCATTGGCAAAGCAAGATAAAAATTACCAAAAACCAAATAGCAATCGACGATGCAGAAACTGTTTTGGACAACACGGGGAGAGGTATTTTGGATGTCCTTATCTACAACATTGCCAAGAAATACTCAAGGTAGCAATTACTGAGAGAATACCATGCAAAGAACCCAGAAGAAAATGCAAGGAATCTGAATACTTCACCCCAGTGGAGAAATCCAGGATGCAGAATCAGATCAGAAAGCTAGAAGAAGAGGTCAAGATATTGAGGCAAATAAGCTGACTCCAAAGAAAAACATGCCAGAAATTGATGACCAAGCAAGACAGATACTTGCAGAGATGAAAGAGATGAGAGAGATATTGGACTACAATATAAAGACACTTAATGACATAAAAGCAGAAACAATAGCAGCACTACAGGAATTGCAGAAAAAGCAGGATGAAAGCCGTGAAGACAACAGCTCCAAGCAACCCCAAATAGACCAAGATAACAGCGAAAAACCAATAGACGATAAACCGAAAGAAACATCGATTAAAGAGTCTACTGGCAAGCAGCAAGAACTTGAAGATAGACACAATACAGAAATGAACAGAAGGTTTCCACCAGGAAGCATCAAAACCAAAGAAGACCGAAGAAAACAAGCTCAATACGGAAAGAGACTGAGGGAAGAGATGAGAGAGACGAGAGATAAGACAACATCCACAGACACCTACCAGACAGATCCAAAACGTCAAACAACACAGAGGACGCCAGACAAATATGAGAAGGAGAAAAACAACAGCAAAGATGGAAAGACGAAATTACATAAAAGTCCTTGTAAGGACTAAGCACTATTACATCCTAGAAGCCAAGACAGAGCGGAAAAACGTGACCAGACACAACCAATCAGAAAATGGGAATCACAAGACGACGAGCGGATAGGACAGAACTAAAATGCAATATACAGGTGTGTTCTACCATAGTCTAGAACGAAAAAAGAGACACAATTAAGAAATAGAAGACCCTTGCCTCCGGATACAACAACATCAGGTATAGAACAACTTTATAGAAGTGAGAAACAACATCAGCCAAACCGTTTAGAACAACATAACCAAATGGAACCGAAGGAAACCATATTCAAGCAAATCAAACTTAATAAAGATCGCAAATATAGGCATCAGCTATATAGCTGAAAATGCCTGAACGTGATCAAATTATTCTTTTTCTTTTTCAAGAAGCAAGCAAGCAAGCAATGGAACAATGGCGTGGTGATAGATGACGTCTAGTGGTTACAAACGACTTGATGTCTAAGACGGACGACAGGGTCACCAAGTTGTTTACTAAAGGCAGTCACCATCGCAACATCAGCGTTATTTATATTGTACAAAACTTGTTTCAGAATAATAAAGAACCAAGACCCATCAGTCTCATTTCACATTATATCATACTCTTTAAAAACCCTCGTGACGGCTCACAGATTGCCTACGTCCACGGAAAGCTTTAAAGACGTGACGGCTAAGCCTCACGGTTATTGTTGTTTGACCTCCGACAGGAAACACCGGATCATTTTGGCTTACGCAGTGAAATATTTTCAGATCAACATCAAGTTGTTTACGTACCTAAATAATGTCCGACAAACTCAAGCAACACGGCGAGATGCTACGATTGTTAGGCGAGGCGAAACCCAGCAAATCCAAAGACATAATGAAAACGGCCTCACCAGACCTCATTCTGCACTCTGTGAATGCTGCAACAATGTTTTAAAAGGCAATATTCCTCTGACACCGGATCCGAAGGAGCCACACAACCACCCAACCAGGCAACCATCCAACAAGGCAACTTGCCAGCCAAGCACAATATGACTTATTAGCGCCTACAACTACGGCTGTCTCCTGTTCTTTTCAACGTGTACATTTTAAAAGCCACTAGTGTACAGTTAGTAGGTCTTGACAGAACAATGTCGTTCGCAGACGATATCCTTGGTACGACGAGGAAGCAACAGGCGTGCATTAACACAACGCTACAGCATGAATTAAACACCCACTGAGTGGTTCCATGAATCAAGAGCACACGTGCACCCGGCAAAGGTCTCCTTAACATGGTTCTCTTTGAATACGCACATTGTCAGTCGTGAGCATGTGCGGTATAGACATCGAAAGAACGAACACGATGAAATGCCCTATTGTTGTGTAGTTTAGTTCGTGTCAGGAAAGGCACAACCCGAAACGTCGATTTGTCTTGTGTTGTGCATCATGGTCAGGTTCCCTATTTCGGGCTTTTTAGTCACAGTCCAATGGGTTAATTCTTTGGTATTAGCGTGACTGCAGTCACCCCTATTTTCATCACCTTTTGAAATACCTTAACATAACTTTCGACATATGCTTGTCATGCAAGCATCGTGTAGACAAAGTCACAGTTACAGCCAGGAAAGGTTTCACGGCATCGAATGGTGAGGGAATACCCCGACATCAAAAAACGCATACTTTTCCTTCTTTATTAGGGACTTGTGTTAAGTGTTACAGCCTTCTCATTGTCAGCAGAACCCAGCTAGAAAGACTGCACCCAGTACAAAATAAGGCCATGAGACTCATACTTCACAAAAGACACAATGTGCCACGCCTACTTAAAAAAAAAAAGTGATTAAAGAAAGGATACTTTTTTTTTTTTTTTTTAGGCCAGTGATACATTAGGTATATGATACCAGACCAACATTATACCGAATTTTTTTAGATGGTCGACTGGAAGAAAGGTCATTTTGAATATAAATAAATTCGCCACGATAAGAATTCGTACCAAGATCTTCGGCCGCAGGCCGATATATCAATCGAGACCTATTTGGGATAAATGCCGCCGCAATAAAGTTGACCTTCTCTACAAAATATTTGTAAATAAGTGTAAAACTGTAAGCAAAACGTGACTTACTGAAGCCAATAACACAAGGTACCATGCTGAAGATGATGAGCGCAAACAGAAGTCGATCCACATAGAATCGGATAATCTGGTACAGGTAAATTCCACACTGCATCATTTGAAACAAAAAAGTGGGTAAAAAGGGGGAGGGGATGGGTATGAAGTATAGAATTTTACATAAGTATCGATTATTTTGTCGGCTCTGTGGCTAAGTCGATGCGAAGCGAAATGCCAGGTTCGATCCCAGCTGCGGGCAATGCGCCTTGCGTTGGTTTCGACAGTGGTATCAAGAAAGCCGACCGTCCAGGAAGCAATGGCAAACTACTGGATGTAACTTGCCTAGAGAAACCACACAGCAGCCAGGGGCTGTTGGGGTTGGTTCTGCAACGTCCTGTCAAGGATACGCAACTAACTTTAATATATCGATTATTTTAATATTGTGAAGACATCATCATCATTTGCATGTTACTTCATTTGTTACCCTTCAGTTGAACTGTTTCATCTGGGTTCATCTGGGTAAAGATTCCACATCAGAGCGTTCAAGACAAGCCCATACTAATTCAGTCTGCCTCCTAAACAGACGGCGAAGCGTTCCCATTCTGATGGTACTCGTTGTCATCATCTGGTTTACTCGTCTTGCCACCCCTCTGAGTCTCGAGTGGCGCACAGAGCTCACAGCCACACATCAAGGCATCGTTCTCTCCAGGTACGGGTTTTCAGTATCTTTCTTTTCACCTGTTACCTTGTCCCACATGTTAGAGAGCACCTCTGCCTTGTGCAGTTGCAGTGCACCTCCAAGAGGGGCCAGTCAGTCCAGCCAGCCTATCTGCCTACTCGTTTAAAAAAGAGGCTTGAATAGCACTGGGAAAATATTTATGCGGCTTGGTTTAACTATTTGCTATGTATCAACATGCATATTGTGTTTGCTGATTGCTATGTTTATCCAGCTGCCCAAAGATTACAAATATCGACGGGCAGTTGACATTCTAGGTGCCCAATTTCCTTTCTCTCTTCTTCTGCCCTTTAGCCCCCGATGAAGCATAGGCGATCAGCCAACTCGTTCCAAGCTTTTCTTTCCTTCTTGTTTGCTTCAAAGATGTTTCAAAATGGCTAACTTTGCGGCTGATTTTTTTTAAAAAATGGTTAGGGTAGCCATCCTCAAGACTTACTTTACCCCTAGTGGCCTCCGAGTAACTCGAGGGTGAAATGATAACATTCCTTGCTTCCCTTTAGACTTGGAAACCAATAGGTACAACAAACATTTGTCGCTTAAAAACGACAAGCTTGGTATTCTTCTTCTTCTGCCTTCTACCCCCCCCCCCCCCCATCCCAATGGAACATAGGCCCTCCACCAACTCACTCCAAGTCGTTCTAACTTTCTCTATTTCATGCAGCTCACCCAATGTCCTCTTCAACTGTTTAATTTCCCCTCTAGCTCTTTTCTCCGCGTGCTTTTGGTCTTCCTTGATTTCTTTGCCTCCGTAGGTTCTAGTGGTGCAAAGACATTCTAGTTATATGATTCTTAGGTTATCCCATCGTGTGTCCTATCCAACGCCAGTGTATTTTCCTCCCCTCTTGGTCCACTGGAACTTCTTTAGGTCTCTCCCAAAGCTCAACAGTAATGACTCTATCATACAATTTGATGCGGTCTATCCCGCACAGGCTCATTTAATGAATGTTCATTGTTTATTAGTGATGTTTTAGTTGTTCATATTTCAGCCCCATACAGCAGTGCTGATTTATATTTTATATTTAATGCAGTCAAACTGCATAGCTTTCTTTTAGGGTTCCATAATCACATGGATTGTCTGTCCAGTGTTATAGACTAAATATCCTTCCACACACCTCTGACTTTTTGCCTGGCTTTTTCTGTTGATGAATTATTCTAGCCAAATAGCCCAACATATTGGCGAACAAGGTTAAAAAAAAAACACACACACACACACACATTTAAAACAAGCAAGAAATAGATCAGTTCCTATAGTCAAAGGCAATATTGATCTGGAAGTATAAATCACTTTTTTTTTTTTTTTACGTATCCAGAAACCATGAGTTGTAAACCCTTTGGCTCGGTACTATGGATATCGCAACCCTTCGGCCTTGATTCCATTATAGGTACCGTTAATCTGGGAGAAATGTGGCTTTTCTGCCTACCCCCGGGAGTGAACCCGGACCACAAGGAGTTCGTCACCCGGCCGCCGCGAACGTCATGTTTAACCAACTTCGCTAGAGAGCCGGGGTATAAATCACTTAAATGTTATCACTGAATCAAACCTAAGTCATTTGATGAATTATTTTTTCTTTGTTTCATATTTTCCGATAACTGTTTATATATTTTTTTTTAAACGACGTAGATTTACAAAACTAAAAATATTTGAATAAATGTGTTTTTATTTTGGTTTTCAAAAAATTGTTTAAAAAATGATTACCGTATTAAAAAAATAAGTGTTTTACACACACACGCACACACATATGTGTGTGTGTATGTGTGTGTGTGATTATCTGTTTGACTAATTGAAACATATAAAACTGCAACATAAAACTTAAAACATTTTAGTCTGAAACTCAAAAAGCTGTAACACGAAGTTCGAAACAGCCAAAAGCGTTGGAGCCTAGTAATGTTTCAGATCTCATATTTTAACATTTTCTATTTATTGAAATGTTTAGTACATCACATTAGGCGTCTATTGTATACTCTGAAACATATTTACGTATGCATGATTTCTGAAGAAACAGCTAGCCTACCTGTGTTAAATACGGGATGGTGAGTATAAATGACAAGAAGCAAAACGACGCCAGCAACAACTGGATCTTCTTGAAGAAAGTGATGACCGCTTTTGGGAGGCTAGGCCAAACATTTTCCCAAATCATAAGAATATTAAGACTCTGCAACAAAATCAAGTCTGTATTAATGTTTTAACCTTTAAATAATATGTATACATGTCTATATCGTCGTCTATATAGTTTATAAGTGTACTATTTTAGGCAATTCATATTTGTAAAATGAGGTGAAAAGGACAGATCCTAAGTGTTAAATATCATAATCAGGTGCCTTTCCGACTGGCGTGGCCTCGCCACAGTCTACGATCTCCTGCAGCATGTATCAGTCCGTGTGCTGACACACCTCCATGCCATGCAACAAGACTGTCAAGAATCTTCTCTCGTTGTCTTCCTCTATCCCTCCTTCTCCCTCCGAGTTGTGGCAACAATAGGTAGGATTTTGGGTAGGTTTGGTGATAGGGGTGGTATGGGTTGGTGATTGTTGGCTAGACTGTGACTCGTTTGCCTGACCTCTAAGGAGGTATCATCCCAAGCTTAGGAATCCTTCAAAGATTAAACTGGTATTTTGAATGCGCCAAAGTTTAAACAGAGAATTGAAGTGCGTCTCGACACCTCAGAGGTCTGGCAAAGAATCCCCGCGCCAGATTCCTCTTGGCGTCTCTAGAAAAGAAGTCCTGTACTAGTGCCCAAGAAGTAAAAAGGCTTTAAGGAATTTCGGAATATATTCCAGAAATTATTTATCCCACAGTTGTAAGTTTGAAAATGTAGACTTCCCAAAACAACTAGAGGGTCTAGAAATGTTTATTTCACCAGATAGAGGTATATCAATATGAGAGACTATATACCCCCCCCCCCCCGGGACGGGTTTAAATCTGAAATGTGACCTGCCCGCTAAGAATGTCAACGTCACGAATAGTCTAAAGTGTAGGGTTGGTTGTTCACTCCGTGACAAACAGCCATGTCTAACTGGTCATATAATGCGTCAATATCGTCCTCTGAACTATCTGCTGTTGGGGCATAAAATGGTACTAAATTGATGTCAGACAGTCTGCCGCGAAGTTTTACTAATAGTACTCTATCTGATATTGTCCAAAATCCTTTCACAGTTTTTGAGATCTGTGGATTCAAAATAATACCAACTCCCTTACTATATTCCTTCCCACCCGAGTAGATAATTCTGTACTGATCTGAATACTTTTCACCTGCTCCTGGCCATCGCATTTCACTTATTCCTAATATGTTGATCCTCATTCTCTTTCATTTCCATCTTGATGTTATCCAATTTTCCGTTTTGTACGAGTGTTCTGACATTCCATGTACTAATAATGTTCAGGCTGTTTTTACCATTTTTTTTTTTCTACAGTAGCTGGATGACAGTCGGGTATTACCCGTAGAACATGATACTCCCTACCGGACGAAGTGACTCCACTAGAATCCCCATTCACGTCGTTATCTAAATTCGTTATATTTTGAGGCATGATTTTCTAGGCAAAATACATCGGTGGTTTCCCCTTGCCTTTCGCCGGTTTGTATATGGTTTGACTACAATAGCCTTGTCTAAAGAGACTTACCCTGCAAGGCAGCAGGGGGAAGAGGTTATAGTGCCTCTTACCCGCCGATGAACATGTCGTAGGGTTTTGAGGTATTTTATAGAGTTAGCTATCCCACCAACTAACTCGCCTCCTCTCAATGACCATCACCTGTTTTGTCCACGGCCACTTATTCAATATATTCGTGGCTAACCTCTATATCTAGAGGCCTTTCCACCATCCGCCCCCTGGTGGACGCTGTAGTTGAACAGGCTCCTACCCCAGGAGCGCTATATATTAACTGATTTTAATATACGGCAGTAAATCAGGGACGAGAGAGAGAGAGAGAGAGAGAGAGAGAGAGAGAGAGAGAGAGAGAGAGAGAGAGAGAGAGAGAGAGAATTAGTATTTTCAGAAAATTAGCCGAAATAATGACTGCACTACGGTCACATACTCCACTGACTAGGAAATGGCCCAGGGCCAGCTATCACCGGCCAAGTTTTCTAAAACCTTTAAATTAACACAGACCGGGAAACAAAATAATGCCTAGATTGATCTATAATCTGTTCTTTAAACAAGAAAGTGTTGAGATCCTTCACGAGGGGAAACACACAATTAGCACCACACAGAAGGCAGTGCATCACAGAATTGTGCTTGTCTTCACTGCTTGACATAAAAATGATCATGACAAAAACGACTGAAAGGCGCTGTCTGAAAAAGAATTCACCGATATTGAGAATCAGTCGAGTAAAATTTGATGATGATCATATCAAAAATGTTTAGGACTCTCAGATGTTTAAATAAAAAAAAAAAATTTTTAATACTTTTGTCAAAATATACGATAGGAAAAAAATATACAACAGACCCACACACAAAAATGGGAACCAGAAAGGACGGTCCAGGCACTGCATCTCAAAATAAAATGACAAAACTGAAAAAAATTAATACATTTACCACTCTACAAATACTCTTTTTTTTTAAATATTAGATTTTATAATCTGGACTATATGTGTGTATCAGCTAGGTGTCATTGATATACAGTCAGATATTATTGATTCACTGTCATATTTCATTGATGCACCGTTAAGTATCATTAATGTAGTCAGATATCTTTGATGCACAGTCAGACGTAAGTGGTGCACGGTTAGATTCACTGACGCACAGTCAGGTAGCATTAGTGTTCAGTCAGATTCACTTATGCACAGTCAGGTAGCATTAGTGTTCTGTCAGATTCACTGATGCACAGTCAGGTAGCATTAGTGTTCAGTCAGATTCACTGATGCACAGTCAGGTAGCATTAGGTTCTGTCAGATTCACTGATGCACAGTCAGGTAGCATTTAGTTTCTGTCAGATTCACTGATGCACAGTCAGGTAGCATTAGTGTTCTGTCAGATTCACTGATGCACAGTCAGGTAGCATTAGTGTTCTGTCAGATTCACTGATGCACAGTCAGGCAGCATTAGTGTTCTGTCAGATTCACTGATGCATAGTCATGTAGCATTAGTGTTCTGTCAGATTCACTGATGCACAGTCAGATAGCATTAGTGTTCTGTCAGATTCACTGATGCACAGTCAGGTAGCATTAGTGTTTAGTCAAATTCACTGATGCACAGTCAGGTATCATTAGAGTTCTGTCAGAGTCACTGATGCACAGTCAGACAGCATGAAGGCACGGTCAGTTATTACTGATGCAATCCACCTGTGTAATTCACAATACAAGTAAAGTGATATTGTAACTTGAACGAATTTGAGAAAAACATTACCAGATGTTGAATGCCGACAAGAATGTATGTGGTGTACAGCAGCAACGCCATGGCTGGAGACAGCTGGTGTTTGCTGAATGTATGCGGTATGGCAACAAACAGATACGACATACCTAGGCAGACGATGAGAATATTAACAACGGCTGTACTACAATCATAATTGTTATAATGAATACATAACATAACTCTTGACCTGTTAGGGTCATAGAGGTGTATCGATGAAAGCACTAGCTTCCGCTCGATGAATAAGTGTATAATAACTTAGTCCTGTCCATTTCTTGATGTTGTTATTCCAAGTTTTTCTTTCCACATATAATGATTAGATAACATCAAACTATACATAGAGAGACAGCCGCCGTGGTGTAGCAGCTAGACGCTCGCTAGTGGATCGCGGGTTCATGCCCTGACAGAATTAGACTTTTATTCTTCAAATAAATAATCCTGGCTCCCAGGTCGACCCAGCCTGGACAAGGTACCAGGTAAAATCCTGGGAAGTAAAGACGGCAGGCGTAATGTTAACTACATCACCCATCGAGTGAAGATTGGTCTCAAACATAACCGTCTAGCCCCACATGCCCAATAGACCTGAAGGCGGGAAAAACTTGTATTATATATATATATATAATATATATATTATATATATATATATATATATATATATATTATATATATATATATATATATGGAACAGAAACATTTAAATGTGGATTTCATTTATGTCTCATTTTTTCTATTTAAAAAAAACAGAAGGAATAAATTATTATTCTAAAGCTGCACGCTGAGAGCTAATAGACTGAAATGGTTTAGGCATATTAAAAGAAAGACAGATGACAAAGAAGTTAAAAACTGTATACACAAGGGAGATCATTGAATGGTCGCAGACCACGAGGCAGACCAAGAAGACGATGGAGAGATAATGTCCTAGACAGACCTGCAAACACTTGGTGTCACCAACTGGAAAGAGAAGGCCAACCAGAGAGATGAATGGAGGCTGGTGATATCTGCAGCAATGAACCTCAAGGGCTCGGAACGCTAAAGAAGAAGCAGAAAGCTGCGTTGGTGATTGCTGTGACAACAGAAGAACATAGAAAAGCGGTGGTAAAACATATTGCCTGAGGCAGAGGGAGTGCAGAAAGCTCAGTTTTATGATCATCTAAAACTGAAAGTTTAACATTTGTTGATTTAAAACGATAAAGTTCGGTGTTTTAAATTAAAGTGAAATAATTCAGTTTTGTTCTCATAATGGTTTAGGTTTCAAATCAATGTATAATTAAATTATATGCAAAAGTAAGAGCTAATGGTACTGGTGCTAGGTTGTCATTTGTGGCTTACGGGTTTTCAATGTAGTTCAACATTTGCGACATACTAGGGCTCGACGTCAGCTGCAGGCTATCTAGTTTCAGACCGCTGGGCGTTGATTTCGGCAAGGGTGTAGATAGAGAGATTACGGAAGGAAATAGATAGGTCCCAAATGTCGTTAACATTTACATTATTTCAAGCATTGCGTCTGAGGTCGCAGTTACCGCTTTTCAATGTCTTGTGTTTGCTGGAAACGAATATGTAGACAGACTAGATGGTTCTGCACCACCTGTCGATGACTTGACGTATGCCAAGATAAATGTCATCAATGCCTTGTGGTCTGGAGAGAATGGTTTAGCTGGAAGTTACCAGAGAGTCTGACCCATTCTCAACATTTAGAGAAAAGGCAAGGCGGACTCATCATCAGACTGCTACGTGCACTGTTAATATTGGAGCTCTGTGTTAGCGGCTGAGATGGGAGCTGGCTGCTAATGGGAATACCTCGAGTGCTATGATGCAAGTTCTTAACTTAGTTTAGTATCAGTGTAGATCAGCATCATTTTATGGCACATGTAAGTGGCCAACACCAGTGTGACACGACAGTATCACATTTCTCCTAATCTAACTGTATTAGGGGTTCTTTTTTTTTTTTTTAACCAGCGCTCAATTTTTCTTCTTTTCAATTGATATATTGCATATACTTATTTATACTTTACCATTACAATATACTGATACCAACTAGCTGTACTCTTTTTAAAGTGTCTACATTAGCAACCCATTGTTGAGGTGGGGGAAGGGAGAGGGTCTTAATTCCATGCATTTGATTTTATCAAATGTTTATCGCAACTTATGTAGTAGAAATGTGTTTGGTAACTTAACTATCCTTATTCATATTGCCCTGCCCATTCCTGTATAAATCAGAAATCTTAATAATGAACTAATACAATTTTGTAGTTTGTGTGTTTTTTTTTTCTCTGCGTGATTCAACATGGCTGGTTTGTTTTGAAATTGTCACAGGCGGATGTTTTCAATATTTGTCATGTTTGTAGCGTGCGCTGAGTTGCCTAGTACAGATGGAGTTCAGTATGGTTGAAGAAAGCATACCTGGCTTGATTCCCACTTCATACTCCAAGCTGCCACCAGGATACAGAGGGTCAATATAGGGCACCAGCATCACCAGCAACAGATGGGGCACCACACAGTAGAGCAACAGGTACACCACGACCGTGCTGCAACAGAAAGTAGGCAGACGTTATAATACAAAAACATATCTTTCTAATTAGCCAATAGCCCAGATACCTAATACATGATGCACGATATTTACTACAACGTCATAAAATTTTTTAATTTACTTGAGAAAAAATGAGAAGGCGCCGTGATGCACAACTAGACGCTCGACTGCGCACCCGAAGGTCGTGGGTTCAAGTCCTGAGGGAGAGAGATCTTTGTCAAAAATGGTATTGACTTCCAGGTAGACCCAGGCCCCAATTGGTACCAGGTAGAGTCCTGGGAAGTAAAGGCGGTCGTAGCGATGTTGGACACATCACCTACCGAGTGCCGATTGTTGCATTAAATATAAGTCTAGCACTATATACCTAATTCGAATAAAGGCGTGGAAAAAGACCCTTTTTATAGAAAATGGGAGCGAGCCCAGTGGCCAGGGACACACACTCTCAGGTTCAAATCTAAGACATCAATCCGCACCAGCACAGATTTTCACAATTTGTATTTTATGACTGACTTTGTCACCCAGGTCGACTTAGCACAGAATGGGTGCCAAGGCTGACCACGTCATTCATGAAGTTGAGATTGGTTGTCAAAAAAAATCTTAACGAAATAACAGTTCCTGCAGTCAAGCTGGTATCAAGGAATATTAAATACGATACACACTGTGACAAGAAAGCTCTCACCAAGAAACGGGGATTGGCGGGGAGATTGGGGTAGGAGGGTCGGGGTGGAGGGAGGAGGGAACCTTTTATTTCGACCTAAGTATTTGTCAACACACGAACTGATACACACAGTTGCGGATCGCAGATGTGGAGTGGCATGATCGCCCACGCCAGTCGGCAAGACACTTGATGATTTATCAACGTAAGTAGTAGGCTAGCGTAATACGGCTCTTATTTGGGAAATCGATCCCTCTTTATCCTTAGTAAACAGATGACGGCCATAAGTGATTGGTTTTTCCTAGAGGGTTAACCCTCCCTTCTTTGTCCTTAGTAAATTTCGATCTGTAACCCTCCCTCTTTATCCTTAGTAAATATCGATCGGGAGGGTGATGATGGTACAAGTGATTGGTTTCAGGGAAAAGGTATATGAAATCGATACTTTGTCTCTCCCTGGGTATTTTCTTCGGGGAAAAGGCAAATATTTCTTTAGTGCAGGGCCAGCTGTTTGATAAAGGGGGAATGATTAATTTCCCACACGCAGTCTTAGGGATTAGAACAGGTGGCGTTATATAAAACGGGGCAGGCAGGGCAGGGGACCCGAGGGGACAGGGCGACTAATAGAGTTGGTGTTAGTTTATGGGTTCTGTAATAGACAAAACATTAGGAGTTGTTTGTTAGCGGGGGGATATATATGTTACAACAAGCTAGGGGATATGAAAAGAGACTTATAGACGGCAGTGTCAGGTGGCAGAGGGGAGCCGTTTTAGGGTTTAGATAAAGAAACCTAGGAAGGCGGCTTGATGACCGGGGATATATGAGAAAGGGCGGCTCTGGCGCCGGCATCATCATCATCATTGCCATGGGAGCGAAGGTCGACCGCTCAGAGATGGTTTGAGCTGTAGTAAAAAGGAGGACATGCGACAGAAGGGTGGGTGTCTAGTAATACTGTTGGGGGCCGAAGAGAAGAGACATAATTGGCAGACTATCTGTTGTAATCTTATTGTCCAAGAGTTAAAGTTTCTTCTAGTTTCTTCTAGTGGTCACAGCGCAGGTGAAAGGTTCACACAGCGGCCACGGGTCGGGTCGTTACCTGGGATACCAGCTAATTGAATGCTGGGCGATTAACACAAAGGCTCCTGCAGAACACAAAGGAGTCGGCAGTCAAGATATTTTCCTTGTCCAAATAGGACGTTCCCTCTTTGTGAGGTTTTGATTACCCGTACTTACTGGAGACAGTTTAATGTCTATTTATTTCTTATAATGGCAGGAGTCCATTGAGAAAAGAGTGTAATTCTTTTATATTCTCAGAGTAAATAATAGAGAGTTATTATCGTACGTTTTATTGAATAATCATCATCATCTTGTGACGTGTAACTTTAATGCCATTAAAGTATGTGGCCTGTCACAAGCGTTATTGTTGGCTTGTAAAGATAGCGACTGTATTACATGATGTTGTGTCGGTGCCAAGTGTGCCAGTTATAGAATGCAGGACTTCACTGTAGCACATCCATCAAGGAGATATCCAGCGGAATACTAGAATAGGCACCCTAGGCCTAAATACTTGGTTCTTGAATATCTTCAACAAAGAGTAGAACAAAGTGTACAAAAAATTAAGTGTATAACAGTGGATGGCCAAGCCGGTCCTTTGATGGATTTATAAACAGTGTTGGTTTATCCAGTGTTCTTGCTACTGACTGATAATCGCTTGAAAGAATACATTTAACTGTTCGCACATAGACGTTATAAATTAACGGATCCTGAAAGGAGTTATAAACTATTTTTTTACTTGTATGCAGTGCTAACGGGTGTTTCTAGCAGCTTTACGAACTTATCGGACATACGTGAACTAACAGTAGGCCTTAATTGATTGCCGTATACAGCTATATAAAGTGCTGGTGACATTAGCAGTGTTATTTGACTCTATAGAATTACGCGTTTGTTCTACCGTAATTGACATTCTTCAACGGAGTTCGGCAGTGGATGCTTGATTTTCGCATCATTACTACTAGGTTCCTGTTCTCAGTACGACGCCTAAGGATCGCAGTACGACGCCTGAGGATAGCAGTACGACGCCTGAGGATCGCAGTACGACGCCTAAGGATCGCAGTACGACGCCTAAGGATCGCATCGACTTGAGGATCCACGCTTACGACGCCTAGGGATCGCATCTGTGGATTTAAATCGGGTAATGTTTTTTGTTGACGGATGGGAGTTGTGTTGTGTGCTCGTTTCGTCTCATAACATATCCGAGGTGTTAGAGTGAATGATTATCATCCATGTTCTCTGTTATTTGTAACTTTAATATATCAGCTCATTGAGTTTGGGATGACATATTAGTTCTTTTCTTCAGCTTTTCTTGTCAAAATGGCGGCTCTGATATAGAGGATATGCAAATATTCATGGCCTTTCTGACAATTAGTCGCTAAAATTGTATGCGTTAAGTGTGTTTCCGTCGTCACGTCATTGGTGTGCTCTTCTGTTTACTTTTCATGATTTCTTTTTATAACAGGCTTGTGGTGTCAACTTTATTTTTACTATTCGATTCTCTCAACGTTGTCGTTTTGTACGTTCGTTGCAGTGAACGAAGTGTAGCGTTTTGTTTGTCAACCATCGTTTGTCTCATTTTTTTCCCCATTTATTATTATTTTGTATTTTTTGTATTGCAAAATACGTCGAGTTATAATGGCTTCCTTTGCGGATTTTGTTGAGCTAGGCCCATCTATGAGTTTAGAGGGGCCAGAGTTGGTCAAATTTGCCGAAGCCAGATTTAAAGAAATCACAGATAGAGAAGAAAAAGCGTTAGAAAGACAGCAGAAAAAAAATTGACTCTGAGTTGAAGATACAACTTCTTAATGCAGAAAAAGAGAAGGCTGAACTACAAATAAGGTTAGAAAAAGAAAAAGCAGAGGCAGAAAAAGGAAAAGCAGAGGCAGAAAGACTAAAACTAAAAGAAGAGTCAGAAATGCTAATTTGTGTAGAGAGAGAAAAGGCTGAACTACAAATAAGGTTAGAAAAGGAAAAGTTAGAGGCAGAACGGGAACTTAAGGAACAGGAAATAGCATTTAAAAGAGAGCAGATGTTGCAGCAGATGCAGGAAAATGATAGGCAGCAGCAATTTAAAGATCGAGAATTAGAATTGTCTCACAAGCAGCAACAACTTAGATTCGACACTGAGATAGAAATTGCTAGAGTAGAGAGAGATAAAATGATCGCTATTAAGGAGGCCGAGAGCAAGAAAAGTGTGGAGATGGATCAGTTCTCCAACCGAGACCGGAATAATGGGTCATACAGGCCGAAGTTGCCCTTTTTAACAACAAATGATTGTTTACACTCTTTTTTGGACAGATTCCAAGAAACGATGTCGTCAGCCCAGATTCCTGAGACACAGTGGGTAGCTCGTCTAAGAGATCTGCTAACCGGAACAGTGTTAAACACGTTCACTAATTTACCGTTGGAAGACCGTGCATCATTCCAGACAGTGCGTCAGAAATTATTGGCTTCCCAAAATTTGACAGAGGAAAACTATCGTCAGAAATTCAAAAACATAATGCCTTCCTCTGAAAAAAAGTTTTGGTGATTTTGTTGCCAATGTTAAGACCTTGTTTTCTAGGTGGACAACTCTGGCGCAGGTCGGTAATTCTTATGATCGTCTAGCAGACCTGATGATTAGGGATAAGATTCTATCCTGTTGTAGCACAGGATTGTTTGCTTTCTTTCAAGAAAGGAAACCACCATCTATTGAGGAAATGGTGAAACTGGGTGAGCAATATATGAGTGCTCATCCTGGCATGTCATTGCAAAAGGAAAGTTACACAGAACCTATTCCTGCCGCATCTAGCATGCGCGTGAACCGCTCACATTATTCACAAAATAATGTTGCTCAGAAACCTAACACTTTTGGCAGAGCAGGTCACTTTAGAATCCACAGCTATGCTCGTTCCAGACGACCAGATAGAGCCTTTCAGAAGACAGAACATTCACATAGGTACTTTAGCCGGCCTAGATGTTGTCAGTACTGTTCTTCCTGGCGTCACAGATCAGACTAGTGTCAAAACAAAAGTTATAGACGGAATGATTATGAATCTCCGACACAAGACAGGAGGAGGCACTACGATAGCAACCTCAAATGCTTTGTGTGTGGGGGGAATCACCTGAAAAGATTCTGTCCTAGAGTTACACCAAAACAGGGCAATGCACTTCAGGTACAGGACATAACACATGCCAGCCACAGTGATACAGTACAAGTCAGAGTTCGACCTGACATCGTGTATCCTGCTTTGTCCGCCATGCCTACAGAATGTGGATTACCTCTCCATTTTGGGTACATTGGCAAGGTTAGA